TTACAGCTAATTACAGCAAATGTTTGCCGTTTCTTTATTTGAAAATAGCAAGAAAGCATTACAGGTGTACTGGAAGAAAAGATATTTCGAAAAAAATAACTTTAAAATACTGTATTCTTTAAGCAAATTTGGTGAAACAAGAGTTAAACTGTAGCATTACACTGTATCGAACAACAACGCTGAACAACAAGTACGAATCAACATAAAATGTCTCATTTTTCAAAGTTAAGTTTTAAAAAACGTCCCTCTAATACGAACATTATAATTTGTGGACAAAATGATTGCTAAATTGAAATTCCTATGCCTGTTTTCAGTAAAAACTGTCTTTACCTTTGGAAGGTTGAGTTGTTGTGCAACATCCTGGCCACGTGTAAACTACGTTCGCGTGGATGAGTTCAAATGGCTTGTTCTGATAATTCCACTTGTAACTTCTGTTGGACACGTCAATCTTGAGTGTTTTTTAACTTCCACTTGTAATATGGCTGAAATGAAGAAAAATTTACCCTCAGTAAATATGATTGTCAACTTAAAAATGAAAATGAAGCCACAGAATAAGCCATTTTACCGAGTACTGTACTTTGTCAAAATACGAACTTAATCTTAATTCAAAGGACAACGTCTACAAACCTTTTGCTTTTGTTCCAGTCACGTCGAACCTCTATTCCATTCACGTCTTTTGAAGCAAAGTTAGGAAAGATGGCAAGAAGAAATTGTTCGCGAAAGAGTATTGTACTTGTAGAAACCAAAGAGTTGTAAACCTTCGCATCTTGCTTCGACAAATGTTTCAAAATTTGAACGTGGCGCGTTCAGAAATCACGTGATTAGAAAAGTGTTTCTGATTGGCTTGTTCCACACTAAAGAAAATTTGTTTATCATTTGAATACCATAAATGAAAATTCTGTCAGGGTTAAGGCCGCGGGTATATTTTGCGTTACCCCGTACAAAACTGAAACAGAAAACAGAACTTCTAAAGGGGAAGGAAAATGGTCGTGACATCTGAGGCCAGTTACCTTGTAATGTGTAGTTCCAAAAAATATCCATACCCTCCCCCCGCCACGGAGAGCAACGGAAATTCCGAGGGGAGGGGGGTCCGAAAGGAGGCAATTTCCGAGGGGGTAGGGGGTTGCTTACAGGGTTTTTTTTCCACGGGGTCTGAGTATAGCCTGCGAACAAGCCTGAGCATCAGGCCTTTCTAAGGGGCTAGGGGAAAGGAGATTTTAAACGGGAGAGGGGGAGGGGGGAGGGGCTCTCTCCCTTTTTGGCTTCCATCTTTCCCCTTTTCCCGCAGAAACGCCTGATACTCAGGCTACCTGCGAACGGCAGACGTTCCTCCTAGCTCATCGCCGCTGATTAAGATTGGTTAGTTATTAATAAATAAGAGCTTCTCTGTTGAGCAAAGCTATCAGTTATTTTACTGTTACCGGTGTTTCAAAACAAGTACTATTGTTGGCATTGATCATCTTTTATCTACCGTCGGCTAAATGCCCCCCTCTAGCAGGCAATAGGGAAGGAAAAAGTGCCTTGCGTAATCCCAATAATTTTCCCGATATTCTCTGGATAATTTAGGGTACTGAAAATCATTGTCGAATAGGACAATTTTTTTTATCTTAAATCATTTTCTCCAAAATAAAGTAGCAGTTTTAAAGTTGATGAAATTCACATTAATAAAGACTATTTAATGCAAATTAGGTTCGGTACATTTTATTCATCATATTTGACATACGAATCTCGTCAGGAGTAGTTTCCTCGCGGTAATGCGGGCGCATTTCGTTACGTTCATTATTAAACATGATGTGAACTTCTCCAAAATTCTTGGTTTTTGGACAGTTTTGATGGACATGGGTTGAAACGATTGTGCCAGCAAGATAATCGACTGCTCAAATATGATAGAAAGGTCAGTCTTTAAAATGTCCGTGAATAAGGATTTATTGTCGGTGACTTACAATATTTTAAACTTGTGGGACATTTAAACATCTGCAGTAAACACATTTCATTTAGTGAGCTTATTTTTTGTCACATAAGGGCTATTACATTAAAAGATTAATACCCCAGGGATTAAATAAATTTTCTTCAGATGATGATAATATCGGTGAAAAAGGTATTCCAGAAACTAATCATGCCAGACCACATTTCAATAAAAAATTGAAAACATATTGCATTAATTAAATATACTGAACTAATAATTTTAATTTTAAAAATAAACTGCTTAAACTGTTTCATGCATATCTAATTCAGGAGTGTCTCATAAACTAGAACTTAACAGCTTTAAAATAATTAAGCAATTTTTAAAATTAATTATTTAATAATTAATTAATTAATCAGTTGACTATCTGATGTAATTTTAATGTTTCTTCTTTTTTTTTCGCTTTTGCTGATAAAGACCAATGTAGGGAAGTTTTTCTCTGTGGACTAGAGTATTACATTAAAAGATTAATACCCAATTCAATTCAATTCAATTTTATTATTCACCCTTTATAAAATATTTACTTTACATATAGTAAGGTAGGAATACACTAATAAAGTAGAAGGAAAAAAAGAAAGTTAATGGCTTGGGTAGAAGTGTACGGTGGTCAGAGGAGCTTAGCTTTCAAGCTAACCACCGCTATATTATGATTGGAAATAATAAACGTGCGCTTGGTGCCATGGCAACTATGGACGATTATGCCAGCGGTCAGGTTATGTGAGACAGTCATATTACAATTGTTACCTTTGAGAGTTAACTAGAATTTGCTTATATTCTTTTTTGAACTTATGGTATGCCAGTTTTCACAAGGTAATCCATAAAAGAGGCAGCAACATGCTTTTCACAGACTTTAGACAATATGGAGAGCATGGAGATTGGTCTAAAATTGTCCTGACAGTCTTGGGCGCCATCTTTAAAGAGAGGTGTGACGTGCGCTATTTTCCATTTAGTTAGAAAACAGCCACTCTGTATAGACAAATTGATCCACCTCGTCAATGGCTGCACGAAAACAGGTGAGACCAGCTTTAGAACTTTCACACTACACTTTCTGGGATATCTTTTTCACCAATGTTATCATCATCTGTAGAAAATTAAGTTTGCCAATAACCAAAACTTGGGAAGAGATTCCTACTAAGATAAAAACACTTAGCTACTGTATGAATTGCAATCAGCTTTTCGTGCAGGGCACTCCACCAAGTCTGCTCTGATCAGTTCACCTGACCAAATCCTCTTCAGTCTGATGAAGACAAGCTTTCTGGAATGGTTTTTGTAGACTTTAGAAAAGCATTTGACGTTGTTGATCATCAATTGCTTCTTACGAAACTGCTCCTGTATAGAGTGAGTGATCCTTCGCTGTCATGGTTTGAATCATATCTTTCTGGTCGCCCACAGTTTGTCAGTATTGACGGTCAAAGATCAGACTCTCTACTTATCAAGCAAGGGGTACCACAAGGAAGTGTCTTAGTTAGGTCCCGCACTGTTTTTGTTATTTGTGAATGACATTCCATTACATCTAACAAATTCAACTGTGAACATTTACGCTGATGACACTACAATAACCGCAAGTGTGCATTTCTCAGATCTATGCTCGTTGATGCAACGTTTAAATTCCGATCTTGATGCGGTTCAGAGATGGGCGTCCTGCAACAAAATGTTCATCAACAAGAAAAAAACGAAGTCCCTTTTAGTGCACGGAAAGCGCATTCCTGCTAAGCTGGATGAAGACACACCCCTACGCTTAGATGTCAAGATTGGTGACTCTGTTATTGAACAAGTCTCTTCTCATAAGATTTTAGGAGTAGTTATACATAGTCAAATGAACGACGAATCACATATTGATGAATTATGTAAGAAACTTTCCAAACGCATAGGACTCTTGAAGCATTAGTCCGTTTCTTAAGCAATGTCAAAGGGAAACCTATTACAATGGTGTTATAAAGCCCACCCTCCTGTATGGGAGCATGATATGGACAGCTGCAATGTCGAACATCTTCAAAGTATTTGAAAACTTCAAAAAAGAGCGGCACGCTTTATACTCGATGCTAAAAGACTTACACCATCAGTTGTATTATTCAATAATCTAAACTGGCTCCCTTTTACTAAACAATCTCTAATAAAGAGATGCGCACTAGTGTATAAGCAGGTCCACAATTATATTAATTTTACGCCTATTTATTTGAATAGTCTATTAGTCAGAAATTCAGAAATTCATAATTGAGCCACTAGACATTCAAACATAAATTTGGTGTGCCCCAAGTATAAACGAAAAACCAAAGGAGGTCGTACTTTCACTATTAAGACTATAAAAGGACTGGAATTGCATGACTGCCAATATAAGAAATAATGGCTCGCTAGCAAGTTTTAAGCACAACATTTTAAAATCCTTTCTAGCTGAACAAAAGGCTGCGATGCTCCTTAGACCGTAATTGTATATACGTTTTAAGTTGTTTTAATCTATCTTAGTCATAATGTCTTTTTAGAAATTACCTATTATATTTTATCCTAAATTATCTTTGAAAATAGTATATTTTATATTTTTTAGTTGTAGAATCTATATTTGTAATTTTGTTTTGAGGGCCACACAGTCATCAGTGTCTTAAGACTACTGTTAAGTGTTTTACCCTCTTTAAATAAAGCCTATTATTATTATTATTATTATTATTATTATTATTATTATTATTACTAATCCTGCCAGACATTTCAATAACAAATTGAAAACATATCGCATTAAATATACTGAACTAATAATTTTAATTTTGAAAATAAACTGCTTAACTGTTTCATGCATATCTAGTTCAGGAGTGTCTCATAAACTAGAACTTAACAGCTTTGAAATAATGAAGTAATTTTTAAATTAATTATTTAATTAATTAATTAATCAGTTGACTATGTAATGTAATAAAAAAAGAAGAAACATTAAAATTATTTTAATGTTTCTTCTTTTTTTTTTGCTTTTGCTGATAAAGATCAAGGTAGGAAATTGTTTTTTCATTGCACTAGAGTATAAAATTCTATTTACTTTGCTTTTCATTCAGGTATGAAACTTGAAAAGGAACATTCCAATGTAACAAAGCTGGATGGCAAACAAAGCAGATATACTGACATCGTCATTCGTCCTTTCAAGTCATGTGACACTGATGTAGTGCGTAACATATTTGCTGAAAGCATGGGAGAAATGCGCAGTCCCCTAGTCCATGATGTCATGTACCAAGCCATTGTTTATGGATTATATTTATCATTACCTGCAGCAGTGCTAAGTGTTGTATGGTTTTCTTGGTTTTTAGCACTGTATTTTATCATTTTCATTTTCATTTTGATTGTTTTGTTTGCTCTGTTACACATTGGTTTCTCAAGGTACATTCAACGATGTTTAGACACTGATCTAGGAGACATAGAACATACATATTTCCAGCAAAAATGTCGCACTTGTGGGTTGCAGAGTGCAACCCAACAGTAATCGGTATGGTAGCTCGTTCCCCGATACCGACCACGAAGGATGCTTTGGAAAGTCTGGGGAGGTTGTCGGAAGGCTTCGGAGAATGGCTGTTTTACCAGAATTCCGTAGATTAGGTGTCGCCAAACAACTTCTTGACACACTTCTGTCTTATGCGAAGCAAGTTGGGTATAAACAAATTGTTTTGCTGACAACCAGTGCTCAAGAAGCTGCTATTAAATTTTACACAAAGCATGACTTCCAACTGGTATCAAAGAGACTCGCGAACAGAGCAATGAGAGGATTTTACCATTTTGATTATTCTTATGACCTTGAAAGACAGAAATAAAATAAAGTATTATACATAATAAATATCATGATTTATTCTAAAAATTCTTAAAGACGGGCTGTTACAGTCACATACCAAGAGGTTTTTCACCCAGCTGTTGTTCAATGACCCCATATTATTGCCAATTCATGGAAAAAGAATTCAGTAACGACACTGCAGCCACCATAGAGTGAAACACTGATTATATAGCTCAATGGAGCTGGGTGTTTTCCTAAGGGGTATGAGCTAGAGAAACCCGTTAACATACTCAGACTTTATACAGCAGCTTGGTGAATTTATTGGTCAGTAAGTGAAGTGTTTGTGTGATGCTTAAAAGAGAGTAAAAACGTGTTTGAAAAAATAAATATAATATATATACTAGAATAAAGTGGATGAATGCCTAATGTACCCTCATTTCTAAGTCTTTCACCCCACATTAGGGAATCGGAATACCAGAATCCAGGAAGTTTTTGCTTTGGAATCTGAAAATCCAGAATCCGGAATCCCGGGTTTTTGTAATCCAAAATACTTCTTAACAAATCGGGAATCCCAATAATGACTGAAATCCAAGATCCACTGGCAAAGAATCTGTAATTTAGCACCTGGAATCTGGAATCCACAGCATGGAATCCAGAATCGAAGAGTGTCTTAGATTTCCTTACATTGGGCAAAGTGTAAAATAAAGGGAAGCAGCTGGTGTAAGAGACAAATATCTTTCACCATTTTATATTTGTTGTCTTTCTTTATCACTCTTCCTGCTTTAAGGATCAGTTCACTGTTTTAATTTCAAAATTTGGTATAAAATTTAAAGATTTTACTGATTCAGGGCTACTAAATATCCGGCTCATGACTCATTGGTTTGTGGCTGTGGTTTTGCCTTCACAAGTGTTTCTGATGCTTATAAGAGAGGGGGTGGGGGGCTTAAAAGAAAATTTGCGGTAAGATTTTAGAAGAGAAGAAATATACCGATCTCAAACTGCCTTGTCCCCGATTGCAAGTGATTACTTTTGGGGGATATTTGAGTTACTAGGCCACTTCCGAGTTTCAAAAGCCCTTTCAAAATGAGGCCAAGTACACAACCTTTCTTGTGAAAACGAGCGTTATTTGCATGAGAATGAAAAATCATTTTGAGTGCTTAACCTCGTTTCTCTTACAGAGGCTCGGGGGAACGCAGTAATGACCTATTATAAAGCCCGGGAGGGACTCCCCATATGAAAGGGGTGGGCATGCTCGTCGTCTCGTTTAGGGGTATAAATTTCGGATTTTGGTCTCACTTAGGGTGTTCTGGGCAAAACTCCATCATATTTAGCCGTGAAGGTCTCGTTTAGGGTTGCACACGAAAAAATATAAAAATAAACATATTGTCTGTGTTTTAACATGGGCTCTCTTAGGGGGCAAAAAAAGCTTGGGCCCCGCCCAGATCGGTCTCCTTTAGGGGTTTAATTCAAAATTCTCGACGAGCATCCCCACCCCTTTCATATGGGGAGTCCCCCCGGGTTATAAAGGCTCTACCTAGTCTTCCTTGTAGCCGTTTTTGTCTCGTCACGCAAGAGGAGGAGCGTTGCGTGACGAGACAAAAACGGCTGGGAGTTAGACTTAGACTGCGAGCAGTCTCTCTTTTTCCTCAGATTTAGTAAGGGGAGTGCACGTGCGCGCGAGAGAGAGACGAGAGACGCCATTTGCGTGTCTCGCGTTTTGCTCGACGACGGTCTACAGAAAAAAGAGAGACTGCTCGTAGTCTAAGGTAGACTAGGCTATGCGCCCATTCCCATCACCATCCCCCAGTCTCGCGCTACTTGCTTGTCTCCAGCTCTTACGCTTCTCGCTTGCTCCATGCTCCCTGCCCTAATGACTGTGGAGGAGACAGACATTTCCTTTCGGTCAATATCGTATCTGACAAGTACGCGCGTGCGCGTTTAGGTAGAACTCGCGCGAGGCAAACGTCAGCAGAAAAGAATTTCGACATACTTGGGTGGTATGATAATCTTCCAAAACATTCCAAATCAGATTACGCACCGATTACACAAATTCGCAAGGGTGAACCATTTATCAATCACGATCTGTACCCTTTCAGCTGTTTGCACTAATGACACTAACCGCACAGCTCAAAATCGGCAAAAACTTTAAGAAAAATAAAATTAAATAAATGAAAAATAGATTTCCAGATGATAAAATGGTAAGGTAACAATAGTGCTGAATCGAAGTGGCAGTTAATAGGTCTTGAATTTTACAGTCAATTCATAAGACGAGGGCCGGTTCTCTGTTATGAAAAGTCGGATAGCGATCGCGGATAGCATGCTCGCGAATATGCTTGTCGTTCTCGTTGAATATTGAAGTTACGCATGCAGAAGGGCTCTTCCGGAAGTTGATGTCATCTTAAAACAGAGGTTAAACGCGTATTTATTGATTCAGCTGTTTGGTAGGATGTACTTTGTACGGAATGCAATTTAATCTGTTTATAAATGTATCACTTACATAACATACAGTCAGTGCTGTATCGCAAAATCGAAAGTCATGAACGTTCGTTTTAGACAAATTCCTTCACAAACGGCCGCAATGAATGGAAAGAACAACTCCTGTTCTCTGTGCTATGGCTTCATATTCAATCTATTGGTTGCCCTGTGCACCATTGGCTTCTTGTGCTATTTTTTGCACCGTTTTGACGCAAGGTTGGTCTCGCTGGAACGAAGACTGTGGAACAAGGAACGTGGCCATGGCAGTTTAAGTTCAAAGGAGAGAATAGGGACTTATGGCCAAGCAAGTCACCACAAACAGGCCATCCTTATGAGAAAAGCAAGGACTGGCGGCAAGGTACGTCTTTCGGAAGCAAAACGGTTGAAAAAGTTGATTATTGGAGAACAATCAAGGACGTGATCTAACAGTTCTCATTTTCGGGAAATATCAAGTCAAGTTCGTCACTCTCACTCCCGGCAACGAGTTCATGAATACTTATGGGTCTCATAGAGTACAATTTACGTCCTCCTGGGGATGCGTTTTCCGGCGAAAGGACAAACGCCAGACACGCGCGTGTGACGCGCATGGCAACTCAAAGAACCGGCGGCAAAAACGCTACAAAGCCATCAAATTCATAGTTCATCTTTAGCGGGATGATGATACTTGATATCAAGCTATTTAGCATATGTTTTATAAAATTTCACTATTCAACTTGTAAAGCTATTCACGGCGGTGATAACTGGATTGATTTTTGTTATGGCAAAATGCTACAGAAAACGCAAGTAAAACAAAATTATTGTACCCTGCAATGAAATATTCATTTTTATAGCTGTACATATACATATGCCTTTGGTCACTGTTTCGTCATTCGGCTCCCTGAGTGATAAGTCAACTAATTTCTGCGCTAGAAAAGAAGAAGTGGAAATTCTTAAAACAGAAAACGGGAAAATGAAAAATGGGACTGAAGCAAACCTTAATTGTAACCTTTGCTTTATCTCGTATCGAGATAAGGCAAATTTTTTTCGGCCCTTCGGGCCTCAGTTTGGTCTAAAAATAAGGGGGGGAGGGCGGTTCCCCCGGGCCCCTCCCCTGGATCCGACACTGATAATAACAGGACTGAGTGATCGCATGAAGTCCGTTTCGGTCTGTAATCAATACTTCAAGCTATTGAATAATTAAATCGAAATACCGACGTTTCTGGAGCCGTTGATTACGTACCGAACTGGACCTTATGAAGTTCTGATACCAATAATAAAGTTATTATTCATTAAAAATATTTCCCCGATTCTGATTGGCTAAAAGCACAAGCCTAATTCACCATAACCAGCTACTGATGACCAAATTTGGAAGAATTTTGCGATTAATCAACCGATGACGTCAAAAGTGCAGCTTCCTTGCAGGTTAATGCATTGTTAACCGAGAAGACCTGGGGACGAGATTGAGTTGTTTTAATTGTGAAAACAAAAATGGCGGACATTTCACTCGTTTTAAGAGTAAGAACTAGGCGAAATAATAGCTGAAAACATGGCAAGAACAGCAAGAAGACAACTCGAAGGGCGACATGTACATCTGTTATTTGGAGAATATTTGCGGAGCTGAACAACCCTAACCGTGCACTATCGAAGGCGAACCTAACATCGATGAAGATAAGCACGTTTAGCTATGTTTGAATTCGGCTTTCGTATAATATGAAGAATTATGGAGATCGAGGAGGGTGTTATCCGCGATAGGTGGGCGCTAATTCGAGGTTGGGCGCTTATTCGAATAAATACGGTATCTGATCCTCGTTTTAAGGAATCCTGTTTCAACCTTACGGTCTGCAATGATACCTTTTTATGTAATTTATGTCATGTTCATTCCCAAGTTCTTTTTTGAACCTAATAGCTTCTGCGCAACGTACTAGTTTTCACATTCAGCGAAACTCACGACTTTCAGGCATAATTGTTTACCGCGTGCAGCGGGAATTTTCGGTGTTGTTCGCGCGGGTCACTATAAAGACTTGACAGAAACCGGAAACGGCGCTTGAAAAGTCTCTGGCACCCAGGGTAATAATAATTGTTTTGCCCTCTCTAAGTTTTTTGAAGGGAAATTAAAGACCGGCCTTTGTTTTATTGGCAAGCAAGACACGGAACTCTTTCTGTTGGCCAGAACCTCTTTAGAACCTCTAATCTGATAGGTTCTTGTTGGCCCGAAGCTCTATTGTTTCAGAGTTTGGGTTCCTTGTTAGTTTTGTTTAAGTTAG